CCCTGCCCACAGTACTGAGTCACGGCGCCCGCCAGGCCGCTGATCGTGTTCTCACAGTGAGGGCTGGAGTACCGGTTCCAGAATCTTCCAGAGGCCTTCCCTTTACCCGGTCTGGCCCGTTTCCTTGCTTGGGTTGCAGACCCCCGCGGCACAAGCCCTTGCACGTAGACACTTGTTCCCGCAGACAGAAGACATGATGGATACTGCCCACAGAGTAACAGACACATGTGCCCTGTACACAGACACACATGTACGTACACAAACACGCGAGTTTTCACACAAACCACACTCCAAGCCGGGGTTTTCATACCCATCAGCCGTTTGGATGTCACCATCCTGGTTCTCGTGATGTCATACATCCGGGTGCTATCTGCTTACCATTTTTCTCTCAATTACATCATCTCAACTCAAACCTAAATTGGTAAGGGGACACTGGACCCTCCCTTTTCAAAAGTAACATTAGCGAGTTTCGGCATTTCTGTCACAGTTAACGCCAAACCAAGCTGTACCCTCGGGTGTCACTGGGATGGAGGGCAATTGCAGAGGGTTCCAGGATGAGAGCTGCAACCATGTTTAACCCTGTCTGTCTGCCTCAGAACCCCTCTCCCGAGGTTCAGGCCGCCCTCTGGGTCCCTCAGCCCCATGGCTGTGGTGGACAGCACTGCGAGCCGTGTTTCCTAAAGACCCTTCTTCCTGCAGAGCTGGCGAGATGAGCTGAGGCTGCAGCTGGGCCCAGGTGGGGGCTGGCCCCACTGGGCAAGTTCTCCAAACACATCCAGGCGGAAGCTTCTGAACTCTGTGGTTACTGGGGAGGAGGGAGGCCTTAAGGGAGACTGATAGGTCCCTCTTTCCCCCCGAGATGGGGACTCTGGAAGGAGAGGCAGCCACTGGGGAGGGACACCGTGGTCCCTGTCGGGCCTAGTGAGTCCAGGCGGCTGTGGGGTTGGTGCGGGCGCGGCTGGGGGGTTCCTCAGGAGGCAGAAAACTCAAACAGGAGCTCAGCAGTGTGGTGGGATCGATCCAGGAGAGCCAGTTTCCTGCCCAGGGCTGATGCCCTCTCTTTCTTCATCTTTGATGCCCCTTCCTGCCCAGAGCGGTAATTCTTCAGAGGCGGTAAGAAGCTTGAAAACTCTTTCGAAATGTAAGTAACTTCATGTGGACAATAAACGGATATTTTCCTCACAGCCCCTCAGCAGGTGGAGTGCAGGGGCGGCACCCTCCTGGACTGGCCCAGCCATAGGTGGTCCAGGCAAGGACAGGCACTGTCCTATGGCAGTTCTGGCCCATGGGGGCTGGGCCAAGTCACCATCAGCTCTGTGCCTCTGGGTCTTCCAACACTCTGCAGGTTCCGGCCCGGGGGCCGGACCTCTTTCCTGAGGCCCCGCTAATACCTTCCTTACCCCTTAACACACGAAACGCTTGTCTTATTTTTCTCCCAGAAGAGCTTAATTTGTTTCTTTAAATTGTGCTAGAAGCAACCGGAAACTTGCCTTCCCCTGTCCTGCATACCTGGTATTCAGCCAGCTACAAAAAGCAAAGAAAAAACAAAGCAAAGAAACAGTTGCGATTTTATATGGGAAACAGCGCGAACGTTCCCTTTCTGCTACATTTTCTCCTTGCCTCAAATTCCACAGCCCTGTCAAAGACACTCCCACATCTCCAAAAATTCACACTTCCACGCACACTGGCACAACCCTTTCACATACTGTCACACACACATGCAGACACATTTACATGCACGCACACGCACACACACACACCCCTCGTTGGCACTGGCATCTCGGCGGGCGGCAGAGGCCTCTTTCTCTGGGCTCTCCAGGGCCTGACAGGGACAGCCAGACCTCAGGAGCTACCTGTGTGTTGTAAGAGACGCCTGCAGCCCTGGCAGGATGCCTGGTGCTCAGAGCAACAAGGACATCAGAAGCAGATGTGGACCTGCACACAAGGACACATTGCGGGGAGGGCGCATACGTCTGACCTATTCCGAGACTTCTTGCTCTAGGGACTGGAAAGGGATACTTTAGAGGATAAGAAAAAGATACTTGAGAAGAAATAGCTGAGAACGGGGTGGGGGCTTTGAGGCTGAATCTGGGAGCTGGCTGGAGCTTGGATCTACTAACCTGATAGTACCTATTACTAAATTACAAAGCCAGC